CTTCACTGCTCAAACCTGGCAGTTCTTCGACGCAGGCTCCTACTCACATCTAGATCTACAGACTTACAAAGCTTGCTTGCAACAACAACAACAACAACAACAACAACAACTGATGTAACTTTCACAAGGGGCGAAGCGTCAGCATAATCCAACAATCAAGGCTTCCCTTTTCAAACTATGACGCAGGCCTCATGAATTAAATAACTGTGAATTAGACGCTCATAACCACCGGTGAACAGCGAGTACAACATACCCTGTTCACCCCTTTCGGGCCAGTCCACTAGCGATCACTAGCACGGATTTTCAGCTTTAAATTGAGCTGGTCGAGTCTACTCCAGAGAGGTAGAGGGGACATGTGCACAACACTAAAACCTGTTTTATAGCAACAAAAATAACCTGCTCACCCCTTTCGGGCCACTCCACGAGCAGTAACAAGGTTACAAGCTAACAATCAGACTGGTCGAGTCTACTACAGAAAAGTTAGGGGAAGAATTCAGGATTTGTTTTCATTCACAAGCTTACCTCTTAACCTCTAAACCCAAATCCCTTTTCCCTAACCCCCAACCTTAACCTTAACCCTAACCCTAACCTCTTACCCTTAATCCCTAACCCCAAACCCCTAACGGGAATAGGGGTTGGGGTTTAGACGTATGAATGAAAACAAATCTTGAATTCTTATTTTATATTTAACCTTTAAAAAAATCAAGAACCCAACCAGTATGTCTGTGTTGGCTGGAAAATCAGAATGATATAATCGAAGAAGCTGATGTCCAACGATTTACCGCCTTGTTGCCGACACTGTGCCGCTCTGATTTAAGAATGTGAAATGTTGGGAGCGTGGGAAAATATCTCAAGTTTTTCCCACGGTAGTCATGAGGTTTTTAGGAATTGCTTCCCCTGACTTGTCTGCGGTAGAATGACGTCACTGCGACCCACGTAATACATTTGGCCCCACAAAAACAGGAGGCTGTAACTTTATTGTGATCGCGCTTATCTCTTTTTAAAAAAAAGGTTATTTATCAGAATTTATCACATACACAGAATTAATCCTCGTGGGAACCCAATTGCAGACACTGTGACTACCACGAGGAGACCGTTGAACATCTTCTCCTTCACTGCCCAAACCTGGCAGTTCTTCGACGCAGGCTCCTACTCACATCTAGATCTACAGACTTACAAAGCTTGCTCTACTCTGGCGTTGACCAGATGACAAGGACATGTGGTTACTTGAGGGAGGCATTGCGCTGCCAA